GTTCAAGACCGGAGAGGAGAACCCCTTCTTCACAAACGACAAGCTCGTTAAGGACTTCTACTGGCGCCAGGAGGTCACCAAGAGTTCCTCTGGCCGAACCCGCACCTGGGAAGGTCTCGTCTCCGAGCCCGTGCGCATCAACTGGAAGAAGGACAAGGATCTGACCCGGGGTCTTCTTGACGCTGCTTGCGACCTTTGGGAAGCTGAGAAGAAGAAGGGCGGTGACCGCAAGGAGCTGCCCGAGTTCGCTGCCCTCGTTAACAAGATCGAGGAGGCTGCCGAGGCTGAGGACGCCGCTGAGAATGACGACGATGAGGACATGCCCAGCCCCGTTGGCATGAGCTTCTTCGGTTTCTTCGGTTACCGTGGCCGTGATGTTTCCGCTGCTCAGTCCAAGGAGGCTGCTAAGGAGATCGAGGCCCGCTGGGCCAAGGTCCAGAAGGGCGAGGACATCACCGAGGGTGGTGACAGTGATGATGAGGATGAGGATGATGACGAGGATGGACTTGAGGTTGCCGAGATCTTCCCCGACGGTGATGACCTCGCCGTTGCCATTGCTGAGGACCTCTGGCCCGATGCGCTCCGCTACTACGGTAAGTAGACGCCAGCCGAGCCGTGAGATGGATCGCTAACTAGGACTGCAGTTCAATCCTACCAGAATGCCGATGATCTCGAAGACATGGATCTCGAAATGGAGATGGATGAAATGGACGAAGATGATGATGAAGAAAGTGAGTCGCGCCCGCGCAAGAAGGCTCGCAACTAAACTGCACCCGAAACGCCAATGACCCCCCTGTTTGATTATGCCTTTCTTTTCCTAACCCCTTGATTTTATGTATTATCACAGTGCAATGAGGAGGATCAATAATAAGACGAGAACGAAAATGAGCGCCGCGATACAAAAGGAGGACCATGTATCTATTTAGAAAAGTCAGTTTGAATTGTGATTCCCATACTATACCAAAATTCCAGAGAGAAAGACCAAAGTAGATTCATACCTTCATTCTTGCGAACAATATGTTTGATCCGCGACATGCCATTCGACAATTTCCCCCCAACACGATCAGCCAACGAATCAACCTCATCAATCATAACAGCCTGATCCTCAAGCTCACGGCCCATATCATCAGCCTGCTGCCGCAAATTGCCAACAGTACGAAAAACCCCATCAAGCTGCTCATCCTGCTCATGCATAAGTTCCGTCTGCCTCTGCTGCTCCATAGAAGCGTAATAATCATCACCACCACTCCCACGCCCACGCCCACGCTCTTCCTCCTCCAGAGCCGCATCAAACTCCGTCGGATTCGGCAATGCATCGCCCGGCGCAGCATTCGAAACAGCCTGCTGTAGTTCCTGGTGCATCTGCTCGACTTCATCGCCAACATCGTCGACGAGTTTGCGGCGCCGCTGCACCTCTTCTAGTTCTAGGCCATAACGGTAGGGGTCTTGTTCGATTGCGCGCACGCTCTCGACTAGGTCGTTGAGGTCCGCTGTTAACTCTGTTAAGGTGCTTTCTAGTTCTGAGCGTGCTTGCTTGAGCTCGGGGTTTGAGGGACTTTTGGCTAGGGACCGGATGCGGAGGTATGAGGAGAAGAGTGGTCGGCTGGTTTGGAGGGTTGAGACGACGTCGCTGGGTTGTGTTAGTTAAGTATTGGGTTGGTGAGTGTAGTAAGATATACTCACGCTTGGACTTGTAGGAATGGGTCTGCGTTAGCCATGGTGTATGTTGTTGGGAGGTTGGTGATGGACTCGGTGTTGACAACGGAGCTTGGCTTGCCCCCGGCGCAGTGGGATGACTCAGCGGATTTCGGGCGATAAAAAAGATAACAGTTATCCCCACAGTCGAGATTGTCCCTCATTCCCTCATTCTAGCATTTTCTTGTTTTCAATTGTTTCGTTTTTGATGCATCGCTGGTACTGAATATGGCGCCTAGAAGTCCCCTTCCTCTTTCTGCTGAATGGAGGGATCCCGACGAATATGTCCAGGCACTTCTTTCCTTTGCGACTGAGTCGGTCATGTTCATCAACCTTTGCGGTGGGGTGCATATTCTCGATTTCTTGACGCGCGAACCCGATTTATATGCGACACTATTGCCAGAGGATTGGAGGGCATTCTTTGATCAACATGATATCCATAGCATCTTGCAATTGCTCCTACGAGAAGATATCAGCCCGCTTTGCGAAAGCGCAGAAACGAACAACAGAACCTGGAACGGCGGCGCATTCCCACCTGCAAGCCTCCTCGAATACATTCGTAATGTCCGCCGTCTCAGTCTCCTCCGTGATTTCACACCAGACCCAAAGAACAATGAACGCCTCCCGAGGCATGTTGCAGTTGGGATGAACAAGAAAAAGACTCATGAGGTCGAGCAATTTTCCCGTTACGTCGCCTCCTTGTCGGATACCGTGAACGAGCGTCGTGGGGAACCGATGTCTCACATTGTGGATTTTGGATCTGGGCAAAACTATCTGGGGCGCACGCTGGCTAGCGCGCCGTATCATAAGCACATCATTGCCATTGAGCGTAAGCACCAGTATATCAGTGGTGCTAACCGTATGGATGTCCATGCTCGGCTCGCCAAGCAAGAAAAGAAGAAGACCATGTACATCAAGAAGCAGAGGAAGAAGTGCATTGACTGTACCGACACTCCGGAGCTGGCAGAGAAGGTCGACCTTCCTAAAACAGAAATGGAGGATCCGACGGAGGATGTGTCAGAGAAGCCAACTGGGGACGATGATAATGAAAACACCGTCATGCTGAGCGAGATGAGCTTAGAGCCCGATGATGTGGTCGTTCCTTTCGAGAAGCCGCGGCCTCATATTCCAAAACCCCCACCAGAGATTGACACCCGGGGACACGTCAGCTACATTGAGCACGAAATTCAAGATGGCTACCTTGAACCTATCGTCGACCACGTCGTCGACCCAAAGACACCAGCCGAGAATGGAAGCGAGGCAGAAGTCACCCAGCCCGAAAAGGAACCAAGCGACGCCCGAGTCATGGTGGTCTCCCTACACTCATGCGGAAACCTCGTCCACCACGGCGTCCGCTCCCTAGTTCTCAACCCGTCTGTAGTAGCAATCGCCATGATAGGCTGCTGCTACAACCTCCTCACCGAGCGCCTAGGACCAGCAACCTACAAACTCCCAAACCTACGACCCCTCCACCCCCGCCTCAAACAAACAGGCGGCTCCTATGACCCCCACGGGTTCCCCATGTCGAAGCTCTACGAAGACTACGAATCCGACACAATCAAAGGAATGAAACTAAACATCACTGCCCGCTCAATGGGCGTCCAAGCCCCCTACAACTGGGGCTACGCAGACAGCGAAGGCTTCTTCACGCGCCACTTCTACCGCGCCCTCCTGCAACGCGTCCTCGTCGACCGCGGCGTCGTCCCAAAACCAGATATCCCACAAGACCTGTACAAGGACGACGAGTCTCAAATCGCCCTAATTGTCGGCTCACTCCGCAAAGCAGCCTTCGAATCCTTTACTGCATACGTCCGCGCCGCAACGGTCAAGCTAAGCCGGGATCCGACTCGTGGCGAGCTGGTTAAGGAGCGGATTAATACTATGTCTGATGAAGAATTGGAGCGCTATGAAGTGGAGTATCTGCATACCCGCAAGAACCTGAGTGTGGTGTGGAGCCTTATGGCGTTTAGTGCGCAGGTTGTGGAGGCTGTTATTGTTGTTGATCGTTGGCAGTTCTTGCGGGAACATGATTCTGTTAAGGAGTGTTGGGTTGAGCCTGTTTTTGAGTATGGGGAGAGTCCTAGGAATTTGGCTGTTATTGGTATTAAAAAGTGATTTGTGGTTTGTTAGACTTGGAGGTTTGGTTGATATGGTTGCATTGGATATATAGATGGGATGGGAGTTGGTGCATTTGTTTTTTTATGGAGTTGAGTATATAGCATCGGGAACATAGATCTACACACTTATAAGTTAGATCCTGGGTACATAAGACCCGCAGATTTCGTTCATATGAACTGCAAAATAAGCCATATAAGATTATGACAGACTCAATAGACAGTTACTGGTACCATTATTGAACGAAAACCAACCATCAACCCCAAACCAAGGAACAAGATATCCCATACCGATTAAAGATCAAATATCAAACCAAACAAACTCACAAAACCCCACAAACCCTGGCAACCTCACCAGCCGATCTCCCAATTAACCCCTCCCAGAACGCACAAGTACCATCAGGAACCAATTCCTAACTCTCAAGCCAAATAAGTCGTCGAAACACCATCCATAGGCTACGCCACACCCTCAACCACCTCAATGACACGTCTATGCTCCTGACGCTTTAGATCAACGATCTTGCACATCCCAACTGCTTGTCTGTCGACGATCTTCGTGCCGTAGCGCGCGGTGTTAGAGAAGCAGAGCTTTTTGCCGTCGATTACTTCTACTTGGACGAGATCGCCGTAGTCATTGTTGTTTGTTTAGGTTATCATGTAGCCCCAGTGGCTGCGGTGGTTTGGGGCTGTGCCTGGTCCAAAGGTTTCTATTGAGAGGGCGTAGGTTGTCATTTCTGTCTGGGTGGTGTTAGAGTGTGGTTTCATGGGAGGGTTCGGGCTTGGGTTGCTGTATAGAGTTGATGTGGGCGTATAGGTTCTTTGTACCTTTATCTGTGTTGGTTACGCAGTCATTCTATGTGTTTGTTTGGGCAAACGAGTTGTATGGATGTATGGGATCATAGATAAGGATTATCGAGGGTTCGGCCAATTGTTGACTAGCCCTGGCATTGGCCTTCCTTGACCGTGGCCGACCTAGAGATATACTCGATATACTCGATGGTCGGTGTAGAGAGCTGCAGTGCATTCTGATTGATGTTATAATAGCTATCTAGGTACACTGACATAAATGTAGTACCAACCGCACCAATCTATGCAATATCAAAACTCAACTAGATACAAATACACCCATATATTAACTTATATACAAACCAACCTCAACTCAACTCCACACTCCCCTCAGGAACACCCTGTCTACTCCTCAATGTCCTAGCAAAGAACTGCATAACAGGAAACATCTCCTCCCTAGACGAAGGCATCCCATCACCCCTCCTCGCATACCGACTAACCTCAACAAACTCAAAGACCAATTTAGTCCTACGGACGGCATCATCAGAAACAGCAACGGAATCCCTCCCAGCAACAAGCAAAACAGGCGACCGATTCTTACCAACCCTCGACCCATCAACAGAATACGCCGCCCCAATAGAAACAACCCCCGAAATCGGCCCAACCTCTCCATCCCAAGCCTCAGCACCAGTAGCACTCTTACTCTCAATCCCAAGCTCCCTCGCCAAAGCTAGCCCCGCCATCCCACCCTGCCCAAACCCAAACACCATAATCTCCCGCAGGCGATACCCACACTCGGTAATTAACGTACGACGCACCATCCCAGAGAGCACTTGGGTCGCCTTGGTAAAACCAGCATCCATTTCTAGCGCGCCCGTTGCGGAATCGAAGGAGACATCGTCGCCCCAATGGAAGCCGCCCAGGTCGAAGGGGAGCGGGGCGATGCCTTGGATGGTTATGATTGTTGTCTCCGGGAGGCGGAGGGCTTGGGCGAATTTCGTGAAGGAGGCAGCTGTGTCGCCAAGGCCGTGGAGGAGGAGAAGGATGTTTGGGGATGGGGCTGTGGAGGTTGGCGAGGGTGAGGGGTGCGTTATTGTTACTGTGAGATTGGGGAAGTCCGATGTGGTGGGGGTCTTGGTGGGCATTTTTTTTTTGTGTAGAGGGAGGCAGGGGAGGGAAGGGGTTCGGTGTGGGTGTTGGGGTTTCAATTGGTTTGTTGTGGATTGTTGTAGTTGCCTGGATGGCGCAGCGTGGAGTGTTGAGGTGTTCGGACTCGCCGAAGCTCTTGATAACTTAGAGCTGGTTGGAGGTGTGGCTTGTATCCGCAACTGTGGCTTAGCTGTATATGCTATTTTTGTTGAGGCTCCTCCCTGTTTCACTTTGGGAATTGACGTTCGGGGTATTGTTGTTGCCTAGCGATCAACGGATGTTCAGGATTGTATGATTTCATCGGCTTAATCTGATACTGCCGGGGGTTGCCGAGTACAGTATACGCGGCGAGAAGTCTGTACTATGTAGGCAGTAGGGCATTGCAGTCACCATTATTTCATGTTCTACTGCATGCTAACGTGCGATACCCTTGAGACTCGAGAAAATGACACTGATTTCCGAGGTACTCAGCGCCACGGACCCTACGTAATAGCATGGAATTGATTAAAAACAAAAATAGCATCCTCACCGATTCCGCTGTCCGGATCCCGCCGTCTCCGATTCCGCCCCATTGAAATTCCCTCACCTCTCTCGAAAGTTCAATAGTGCTACGTAGTAGCACGCCAATGGACACTGTTCACCGCCACTCGTGGCTCGCCTCATAAGGCGACGACAAGCCTCGGAAGGGAAGCTTGGCTCGGCTACCTCGGGCTCATCGAGCCTTGGCATTAAACATATCAGTTCCAAGTGCGTAACTATTGTGGGACTAAGCCCCAACACGGCTAGCAATGCCTGTATCCATTTCCTATTTGTTTACTGCCGGCGGAGTAGGGCTGACCCGACCCATCAGATCGCCCTATTGGAGGTGGACCACGTACGTACTTGTACATGGTAACGCCGAGTTTCAGGGGATTGTTACTGTTGGTGGTACAGCGTCTCAGGTTCACTGACACATGTAGAGGGTGCAGGTGGCACGATGCTGGGATATCTCTTTATAGTATCCCCCAAGATGTTGAGATGCTCCCCTCGATAGGCTAATGCACATCTGGAGGTTAACGATGGACCTCCCACTGTCGATTTCACGGAGCTCTCCAATGGATTACAGCAGTGCCCCTCGCCCCAGATACCCAACAATCACAAAGATCTGCTTTCTCCACCGGCTAGGAGCCAATACACAACTCACATCGTGTTTGATCCGTGGTCCAACCGTATGGAGGGTCCTCCTGTAATACCGAATGTACCCTGTAGCAAAACAGCTTCAGCCACCCTCGCAAAGTGGATGGTGGGGCAGTGAGCTGAGACAGCTATTGAGTACGTAGTCCTTCTGGCTTCTTCTAAAGTCAGCTCTCAAGGGCTGGCGTGGGTATAAGATCCCCTCATCTCCCTTCCTCTACTTCTTTTCTTCATCAAACAACAAGTCTCTCTAAACAAACCTCCTTCTACTACATACTACATTCACAATGGCTTGGGGCTGGGGTAAGTCTTCCCATACATACCTATCGCCCGTTCTCTCCCTGCATGCATGAAGGCCCGTCCCTATGTGTACATGCACCTCCCGTACACCAAGCCCCCTCATTGGCTGCAAGATACGAATAAGAACACTGCTGACTGGACCGCTCTAGGCGAATCTGAGCGTGCTCACGAGCAGGTCTACAACGGTGAACAGCACCACGAAGGCAAGTTCTCCCATGAGTTCGCTGCCGGTGCCGCCTCCTTCGCTGCCATGAAGGCCTACGAGGACCACCAGAAGAAGTCCGGTACATTGCCCCTGATCTATTCTCTCATATGTGCAGTACATCCTTCTAACTGATTCCAACAGGCCAGGAAGTCAACCACGCTTTCGCCAAGGAGCTCCTCGTCGGCTTCGTCGGCGGTGAGATCGACAAGCTCGCCGAGACCAAGGGTATGGACTGGGTGGACCGCGAGAAGGCCAAGCGCCACGCCGAGAAGAACGCCCATCATATGTACGAGGAGCGTTACGAGCGCGGCAACTACTAAGGATGCAGACCCGACTCTGGAATCCTTGGAATGGACGATTGAATGAACTTGAGCCATGAGACAACCGGTCATCGGTCTTAAGTACCGACTTGATACCAATATGAAATGAACATATCTTCCAATATATCTCCCTTGGTGATAAGATAGGCGGTGTATCCGTAGTGTGACATGTATGAATGCGACGTCGCAGCTCTGGTAAACGTATGTCGGTGACGACTAGAGTTGGGGAACTATGCGCCGAACTTCCACCGGTATGCGGATGTTTTTCTTGGCCAGTCATTGCCAGGAGAACCCGCCGACTACTGTGCCCAACATTCCGGGTGGCATTCCAACGTAATTGTACTGCAGAATTCTGACGGGTTATTGATTGAGCCAGTAGGTGGTCATGGAGGATTTTGACGAGTGAATTAATGCTATAGATTGGGCCGCATGTGATATCACATAGACCTGCAGATGCAGCCCTGGAGAAGTAAAGTAGAAGTACGAGATTCCAGGGCGGGAATCCTAGCCTTGTGGGCCCGGGTTCTGCCAATCACGTCCGCCCCAGCTATGATGAGCTCATACACGTGCTCGATGGGAGACTTCTTGTTGGAGTATCGCAAAGGTTACTTTGTTCACATTTGTTAAGGTATGGCGCTCTGTGGCTATCTGGGGTACATCATTGGTACCTTGCGTGAGATAGTCTAAATTTTCGGGGATTTGCACCGATTCCAATATCCCGCTTTTTTGCTTTTTCCGACTTCATCTCTTTATCTTTTGTGGCGTCGAGCTAGCCGTGTATTTTCCGGCCAAGATTTCTACCCCTCGTGAACGTCGGTGACGAAGTTCCTGTCACTTCCAATTTGAGATGAGGCTTCGTCGTTCAACATGAAATTTGCCAAGTGTGTCGCTCCCTCCAACTGTAACATTCCGGTGGCTGACTTTATCCAGAGAGCTAGAACAGGAGCTTGTTCCTGAATGGCGGGCAAAGTATCTCGACTACAAGGTACAGCAACCGTTTGTGCATCCCCGCTCTGCAAAGCTGATAAACGTATCCCCAGACCGGCAAGAAGAAAGTCAAAGCGATCACTCGCGCCCTTCAGAAGGCACATCGCAGTCCTCGCGTACCCTCCTACCCACAGTCCACCCCGCAGGCTCGCGGCGCAGCACAATTTCCCTTCACGCCATCAAATACCGATAAAGCGCTGGATGCGACAGAGGCACATGGCTCATCGACCCCGCGAGGTGGTACGAAGTCGCCGTCAGTGACACGGTCTACGCCGATTCCCCGAAGCGAACGACAGCCACTCCGCACGCCAGGATCACGATTCTCGGAACACGTTGGTAGCTATGGGAGTATACTCGCCACACCACCGCATCAGGGAGCAGCATCCGATACAGCCTCGTTTGAGCTGCCAGACCCAGCGCTCGATCCCGATGAGGAATATATGCCACCTGAAGAAAATGGAGACAGACCCAGGACTGTCAAGACGCCATCGCCGGTAATGGACCGACATGCCACTTTTGGCACTTCGCCTTCACAGCCTATGCCAGAGAGTCCCCAGGTAGAGCGGAGGCCCGAGTCGGAGCACCGGCCGAGTTATCAAAGCCCCTTGAGTGGCGCCTTGACGAGAGTGGCGTCGACCAAGCGAGGATCTCATCTCCTGCGACGAGTATTTTCCAGCACGGAGGTCGAGACTGGTGGGAAGCGATCACAGCCAGATGGCTCAGAGCTCGACAAGCGGCAAGATGAATTCTTCGAGTTTCTGGATAGCGAGTTGACCAAGATCGATTCGTTCTATCTGATGAAGGAGCAGGAAGCCACAGAAAAGCTTCGCATTCTTCGTCAGCAGCTGCATATCATGCGCGATCAGCGTATACAAGAGGTCCTTGTAGCTAAGAGAGCAGCCAAGGGCGGCGGCCCAGAGGCCCAGCAACGGCCGAACGGGTTCGTGAAACTCAACGGTCACCGACTGAAGGACACGTTTGTTGGAAAGAGTCGCTTTGGTAAGAACTCGGAGGCACTGGCTGAGATGGCTACCCCTGGCATGCACGCCCAGGACCGGGAATTCATTTCCAACCGGAGGGATTTCATGCGAAGACAGGACTCGCCTAGCCAGGAAGTGCCATATCGCTCTGCGAAGCGCAAGCTCAAGCATGCGTTGCAAGAGTTCTATCGTGGGGTTGAACTCTTGAAGGGGTACGCGTATTTGAACCGGACGGCTTTCCGGAAGATTAACAAAAAGTACGACAAAGCGGTCAACGCCCGCCCACCCTTGCGTTACATGTCCGACAAGGTCAATAAGGCGGCTTTTGTGCAGAGTGATGTGATTGAGAGCTTGATGGTCGCCGTTGAGGATTTATATGCCCGTTACTTCGAGCGTGGCAATCACAAAATTGCTGTCTCGAAGCTTCGTCACACTATCAAGAAATCGGGCGATTATTCCCCGAACACTTTCCGTTCTGGTCTTTTGTTGATGGGAGGAACTCTCTTTTCTATCAAAGGCCTGGTGGATGCTACACAAAAACTTCGGACAGCAGAGCTCGACAAGCAGGTTCAGACCAGCTATTTGCTGCAGGTTGGTGTTTTCCTATACATCGTGTAACCATCGTGGCTAATCAGAGCAGATATATGGCGGATACTTTCTGATCGTGTTTCACGTCTTGCTCTTTTGCATGGATTGTATGATCTGGACGAAGTCGAAAATCAACTATTCATTCGTTTTCGAGTATGACAGCAGACACACCTTGGAGTGGCGTCAATACCTGGAGGTATGTTCCCAAATCCCAGTCGCTGGGAGATTGACTGACAAGTGTAGATTCCTTCTTTTTTCTTTTTCTTGATGGGCCTCTTCATGTGGCTCAACTTTTCATGGATAAATGATATGTACATTTACTGGCCCGTCGTGCTCATCGGTTTGACAGTCATTATTCTCTTCTTACCGGCCCGCGTTCTATATCACAGGAGTCGCAAATGGTTCGCCTTTTCGAATGTGAGTCCTCATCCTCTGGTAGACTTGAACATTATTGATGGTTATAGTGGCGTCTATTACTTGCTGGGATATACCCCGTCGAGTTCCGTGATTTCTTCCTTGGCGACATGTACTGTTCTCAGACATATGCCATGGGGAACATCGAACTCTTTTTCTGTCTATACGCCTCCTACTGGGGCTATCCTCCCAAGTGCAACTCCTCCCACTCTCGACTCCTGGGCTTCTTTCAATGTCTACCCTCCGTTTGGCGAGCCTTCCAATGTATCCGCCGATACCTGGACACGAAGAATGCCTTTCCTCATCTTTTGAACTTGGGCAAGTACATATTCGGCGTGCTCTACTATGCCACCCTGAGCATGTACCGCATCGACCTCCAAACGCGCTTCCAAGCCTCATTCATCACCTTCGCCCTACTGAACGCCGTCTACACCTCAGTTTGGGACCTGATAATGGACTGGAGTCTCGGAAACCCTTATGCAAAGAACCCGATGCTCCGTGAAGTGCTCGGCTTCCGTCGGGTCTGGGTCTACTACGTCGCCATGCTGCTAAACGTAGTCATCCGCTTCAACTGGATTTTCTACGCAATCTTCATCAATAATATTCAGCAATCAGCCCTACTCAGTTTCGTTGTCTCCGTCTCGGAAGTCTGCCGCCGCGGCGTATGGTCCATCTTCCGAGTCGAAAACGAGCACTGCACAAACGTCCTCCTCTTCCGAGCCTCGCGGGATGTCCCCCTCCCATACGACCTCCCAGAAACAGTCGCCGCCCCTCTCGACGGATCCCCGGAAGCCGTCCAGCTCCAGGAACAACAACACGCAGCTGCCTCCACACCCTTCATGTCCCCTGGCGACATCGAGCACGGAACTCCCTCGGTGTCGAGTATGCGGGCACGCAACCGTCGCCCATCGGTGGGAATCGGCCGCGTCGGCACGATTGTCGCAGCAGCCCATGCTCAAGACTTCCAGCGCCGTCGCGGACCAACATATCTCTCCAGCGCGAGCGTCGGTCGTGACATGGCACCCGGCGGCGATGACAGCACAGACGAAGACGACGAGGGCGATTTAACCACGGACGAGGACTCGGGTTCAACAGTGAATGGAAATGAAACGCGCGAGACTGGAAGACCTCACTCTCTTCGACAGGATGCAATGAACCGCATCGTCGAGTGAATCAAAAGAAAACCAAGAACAAAATCAAAATCAAGCACAAGAACAAGCATAAGAACAGAACAAGAACGAAGACAAAACAGGTGACTAACCTGCCCATGCGCATCCTATCCCTATCCTATCCCCTACCTTTTGCCTTGAACACGTGGTTTCTCGCTTTATCTATAGATACTCAGACCTGCAGTTTGCATATATAAGTCTTATCTCGCTATGAATAAATATCAATTTGCTATCACTTCTCCATCTCCAGACGTAGACCCAGACCCCATCACCATCATATCCTGATCTTACGTGAAAGCATGGCGTGATACCCCTGAGCTGAAAGGCCAAGATACGAGATCTCCAACCGGGACCCGGGCCGGTGTAAGTTGCCTCATCCAATCGTCCCGGAAAGGCATCCTCCACTGTGCCATTCACAGGGCAGTAAATGAGCTCTTGGGTTCTGGGTGGGACCTCGTTGCCGGGCACCTTACCGGTGGTTAGTCGATCCGATGGGATCCGATGGGATTTTTTTTCTCGAACAGGGTGGCTTCTCAGATTGGTGCGTCTATTATTGATGGCTTGCATACCTATTACATTTCTACACTCTACCGTACAGTATGCTCTGGCGGCCGTGCTGTGCCGGTGTTGGGATCATATCTGATTGTAGCGTGGTGTGAGTTTCGGGATTGCTTGCTCGTTTGGCCTATCATTTGTGATGTTATGAATCTTGGTATCAGGCGATCGCGGAGAGAATATTAATACAGAGTACAGCAGAATGGAGTCGAGATAGACGCGTATGGCAAAGAGGTCATCCGAGACCTGAGAGCATCATCATCTCGATGACCTAGGCAGTCACAGTCACGCAGTAGCCATTCCGATGGATTAACTAGATGGGTACGACAACCAACAAGAACCTTAAAAAAATAAAAAAGTAAAAATGAAGCCACCCCGCCGGGAGCTCCGACGTTCGGGATCAAACCAGGGCTTTGCACGGTACGGCTGATCAAAGTTAACTGTCGTATTTCGGCGGGATGTTGCAAAAGTAAGGGTTAAACGTGTTGATGAGGGTTGTTTGCCCGATTAGGAAGTCGGCTCCACTCTTGACATTGGCACGTGACTTCCCCAGGTTCTGCCTGACGATCCTAGCAGTCCGTTTCTTTTCTTTCTCTCTCAGACTTGCCTGTTTTTCTAGGGCTGGGTTTTGGGATTCCTACTGTACAGTATGTTGGTACCTGAATGTCTAGGGCTGGACAGGGGTTATCTTTAGCTGGGATTAATTGGTCGCATTAGGGATGTCTCACCGGTCTCTGGGCGTGTGCAGAATGCAGAATCCGACAGGTGGTTCCGACATGTCTGCTGTAGTATCCTTTCCGAGCAAGGAGAAGCCATATGGGCAGTTCCGCTCTTTTGGCAGCATTCGATACGGTATGAATCTAGAAGCATCGAACAATCTTGTCATAGGGACAGATTGATGAATTGGGGTACATAGTATGGCCATGTCTACTCCAACCAAGGGGGAAAGTCTTTCCCAATGTTACACAACCAATGAAAATCGCATGTTCACAGCGTCGGGCGTACAGATACTGTAGTTACGGTGTAACTTGATGTAATTGAGTTGCAGTGGATCAGGCAACCCCCCAATCCACTACTCTTGATTAGGCAAGCCAATACACCGAATTTAACTTAGACACGGTCATATCCGATGAAAGTAGTAGTTGATTCGCTGATCGTACTTCGTCACCGGTTAGATTCACCGAATTCAGTTGGTTGAGTCTGGATATGCGGGGAAATGAACCGAGGATCGGAAGAGCAGTCGTTGAGGGGGCGACTTGGAGGCGTTTTGAGGCATATAATCGTAATATTACCTAACATTTGGCCGAGACATTTCGAACTTATCTCTAAGGTGTCATGTTATGAGTTATTCAGTTATCATAGTTAACTGTAGATATGAACCCGTCTCTCGGTGATCTTAGTGCGAGATAAGCCCCTGAAGCCCTTCGCCACTTTACCGTGTCCCTAAGATCTCCTAACCGTGCGCCATTTTTCCTCCCGGAAAGCCACGGCACAGATCCTTACCCCTGTCCTGCGGGAGGCGTTTCTGGGCGCATTCGGGGAGACATTTTGGGGCGCAGCGGTGAAGTTTAGTTAAGGTTGGAAATTAAACGACCACCTCAACATTCCCCATGGGGTTTCTTATGGAGAAAACAACGGACAACCAGCCGCGTGCGCAAGATCTGCTCCACATGCGTCTCCACGCACTGATGACCTGTCGTCATGAAAAGCCCAATAGGTCTAGTGCGTCAAGGATGAGCGAATTCCCAAAACTTGATGGGGTCTGAAACAGAAATTAGCGTGGCGAGCGTCCGTAGACAATTGCAGTTAGACGTGCACTCCACAAGTGGATCTCTGGACGACTGAGACGTCGAGCCGTCTTATCTCTGACGCCCCGTATACATGCGGTCTCACACCGAACGGTTAAAACCCGTTCGATGTCCCACACTCCGTTCGAGGGTAGACTCAGTTTGTCTCTCGAGTTCACTCTATACTCTATATCAGTATGACCGACATGAAGAAGGAAGACCTTGAAGGTCTTGACCAGGACATTCACAATGCGCCTGTAATGGCCCATGATGATGTCTTTGGAGAAATTACAGAGGGTGGTCCCAACTATCGCAACGTATATCTCTCCAGTGCTGCTTGAATTGGACTCGACTAACACCCCGTCAGGTAGGATGGGCCGGAACAGTGGTTCTCATGATGAAGACTCAGATTGGTCTCGGTGTGCTCTCCATTCCTAGCGCTTTCGACACATTAGGCCTCGTCCCGGGCGTGATATGTCTGCTCGCGGTTGCTGTCATCACTACTTGGTCCGACTATATGGTTGGCGCTTTCAAACTCAAGCACCGTGAAGTCTATAGCATTGATGATGCTGGTGGCTTGATGTTCGGTCCGATTGGTCGTGAAATTTTTGGCTTTGTATTCTGTCTATGTACGTGTACACTCGAGTTGCAGGGAGAACCACCCCCTAACCATCTTATAGATTGGATTTTTGTCGCCGGCTCCGGAATGCTCGGTCTTTCAATCGCTCTGAATTCAGTCTCGACTCATGCAACTTGTACTGCGGTCTTTGTCGCCATCTCAGCCATCGCAGGAATTGGATTCGCCAGTATCCGCACACTCGGCCGTATCAGTTGGCTCGCTTGGATTGGTCTCGTCGCCATCATAACAGCAAGTAAGGCATCCCTGAAGCCAGAAAGTGAACCAAAAAGAGGAAGGAAAAGAAACCATAGCTAACCACTGCACTACCAGTTATGATCGTCACCATCGCCGTCGGCGTCCAGGACCGTCCGGCCTCCGCCCCTCAAGAAGGACACTGGCAATCCGACTACAAAATCGTCGCCAACCCAACATTCGCCGAAGCCGTCTCCGCCATTTCCTCAATGATTTTCGCTTATGCTGGTACACCTGCCTTTTTCTCTGTCGTATCCGAGATGCGTGAGCCCCGCTACTATACCCGCTCTATGATCATTTGCCAGAGCACCGTGACAGCCATCTACATCACCATCGGCATTGTGGTGTACTACTACTGCGGCTCATACGTCGCTTCGCCAGCTCTTGGTTCGGCAGGTCCAACCATGAAGAAGGTCAGCTATGGGTTTGCCATTCCCGGTCTATTGGTTTCGACGATGCTATTCGTCCATGTAAGTTTGCCATCCAACTTCCACATATACATCCAAGAAGGAGACAAGAGACAGGATCTGAACTAATGCACCCCAGCTCCCCGGAAAATACATCTTCGTCCGCGCCCTCCGCGGCTCAAAACACCTCACATCCAACAGCATCGTCCACTGGACCTCCTGGCTCGGCTGCGTAAGCGGCGTCGGATTAATCTCCTACATCATCGCCAGCGCTATCCCCGTCTTCGACAGTCTCGTTTCGCTGATTGGTGCTCTGCTCGGTACATTCATGTGCTTCCAGCCTATGGGCTGTATGTGGCTGTATGATAACTGGAGCAAGGGTAAGACGGAAAGATCGCCCAGGTGGACTGCTATGGCTTGTTGGAGTGTGTTTGTTATTGCCATTGGTTCGTTTATGATGGTTGCTGGTACTTATGGCTCCGTTGTTAGTATTATCGATAGCTATAATGCTTCGGGGGGATCGAGTGCTTGGTCTTGTGCCGATAACTCGAATTCTACTTAGGATTGAGTTCGGGGGGTTGTTTTTGTTGGATATATACCTATCTGTTATTTTTAGAATTTGGTCAATTGAATCATTAGATTATGACTTGGTATTCGGTATTTGTGTTTTGAAGTTTCAATCCGTAGAGGTTTGAAGTAGGGGTTCTCTGACATGCTCAATGGGCTTGTACTGGTTGTGCTGTTACTGTTGTTGAATAGTCAATGAAGGCTATTTCTAAGATCTAGACTCATCCATGATTTTAAGTTACCACTGACTGAAGAGGAGTATGCTTTCATGTTCAAAGTCAAGGTTTGAGGTCATGTCCGTAGACTGGGAAAGCTTCGGTCGATGTACACAATGGACTTTGCATTCAATTTCCTGTTTCCGACAATCTAAAAGTTGGCTAAGTCTTGCCACCTATATCTTGTCTTCTTATTTACCAAAGATTTTCAAACATTTCGTTTTTTAGCCTTTACAAGAGAAGTTGACACCTCAGGCCTCACACCCCGGACATTTGCTTATCACACGTGATCTGTAACGTCACATGCGCTGCGCCTCCAGGCCTCGCTCTTCACCTGTTTCTTTCTCCAATGCTTCATTACCACTGAGCACCCACGACAGTCAGACATCGACAACATGGCTGCAAACGCCAGATATGAGCCCGCTCCCCAGCGGGACTCCTTCGAAGACAACGCCTTCTCCCAAGCCCCTCCCTCATACCAGGCTACAGCAGACCCGGAGCCTCGCAGCGAAGACGATAACCTACCGGATGACTTCAAGGTAAGCGACGATCCAAGTGAAGCAGACAACAAAAATTAACAACTCGCACAGTTCGGGGGCAT